TACTTGCGGGACCAGTTGATACTGGAGCAGCCCTATATAGTACACAGTCATGAGCCAATGTTCACGATTTACAGTTTATGTTCATGATGTAAGGTCGGCGTATAATAGTTGCTCAGCCGGGTAAAATGTGGCGGTCTGATATAAAGACTATTAGTCCAGATTTACCTGGAAACTTGAAGTCGTACCTTATCAAGTCAAGTAAGTCAGTAAATATTACGTTCTCAACTCCGAAGCGACTATCGTAGTTGTCTCGGGATAGCTTTCAGCGTTCAGGCAAAGATGATTCAGTCATGTAAGAATCAAGTCATGGCTATTCAGTCATGAGAATATTCAGGTCAGTCATGTTAAGATCGAAGATGGTCTGTCTAATAAGACAAGACTTATCAGTCATTTTCAGTATGTTCAGAGCCTCGATTCTCAAATACATATGATTTCAGAATTCGTAGGAAGGATCAGTTTATGATAAACTTTTCTTGAGGTTAAGTTTGACCTCAGTGAAGGTAAATAGTTGCAGGTACAACATGTCGATTTTTGACACGGCGAAGAAGACCAATCAACAGCAGCAGATCATGCCATGGTGACAACCAAGCTTTCCATTCAAGTATGCATGACGCCAAAAGAGCAGGATGCCATACCATGTTTGGTCACAGTACACTGGGAAATTACAGAGAGTTAGCACTTTAGTACATTGAGGATTACTAGCCAAGATACAGATATGATCAGCCATACAGACTACATCGACGTCGCAGGTGCAATTTTCGCCAGGTGCTGTGTGTAGGTGTGCCGCACTCACTTGATGAGGAGCAGGTATGCCGCATTACGATGTGCCGCGAACGATGTGCCGCGTATCGAGTAGACATTCAGGAAAGGTAATTGCCAGGATTGCTAGTTACCCTCATTTGTACACGTGCGTATCTCTGAAATTTTTCGGGAGTACCTACGACGGGGAGTTCCACATTCAACGTTCAGACAGAAAATCAGCAGTCAATCAGGAAATGAAGATCAGTACTGTAATGCCCCGTTTATTTGTGAAATATTTGAGATTATTTGTTTATTTATTTATTTCATTATTATTATTATTATTATTATTATTATTATTATTATTATTATTATTATTATTATTATTATTATTATTTGCCTAATTGTCAAATTGATTATTATTATTTATATTAAATGTCAAAATTGCCTAAATATGATTAAATGTTTATTATTAATAAATATTATTTGTGTGTATCATATATAAATATTTATATTCCATTTTATTTTAATTATCGAACGTTCGTATCGGGACTCGATTATTTACTATTGTTGAACTGAGAGTGTCCCGTAAACCTCGAACCGACCCGTGCCCGTGTGCTCTCTTACCCAGTTCCCTTCTCTTTTGATTAATTGTTGACCAAGTTGTTGAGTCAAACCCTAAGCCTAATGCTATAAAAGGGTGAGATTTTTTCCCCTCCTCAATTGTTATTTCTTCCCTCACGCAGACCCTATCTGTTTCCTGTCCTCTCAGAATTCCGCTCGCCATCGCAATAGAGGGAAGAATCTGTTCCTTTAAACT